GCTCCTGGTACGACTAACCAGACATTGAATGTCATCATCTGCTCAAAGCACCCAAGTCTGTTTACATTCAGATTAAACCACTTAAAAGCAAACAACTTTTCTGAAAATAATTCTTATAAATACATGCATTCTCTAGTATCTCTTGTCTGACTACTTCAACCAGCACTCTGCGGGTTTTTGGGTAATAACAACTTATGTGTCAGAAAGTCAACAGGGGAAAAGAGCTCGCCTGTTCTCTTTCTTAATAATAAGAGCCACGAGTGCTGCACCAATGCAGTCTGAGCAGCTTTGTTTCACTCACCCTCATAGCAATCCAACCTGCAAGGCGCAAGCCGTATCGCTTCACGGAAGTGTATGATTGCTTCCTGCACTCGGCCCATGTTCCTGAGGGCAGCTCCCTTCAGCAACAGAGCCTGAACGCTGTTGCTATTAAGCTGGATAGCTTTGGCTCCTAAATATAAGGCACGGGAGTATCGTTTACTATAAAAACTATGACACCTATGGAAAGACAAGATGGATTGTAAACATGTACTGCCTGTGTACATTCACAGAGACTCAGAAGAGAGAGGGAAGAATCAGGTTACAAGTAACTGCTGTATTTTACGTTAGAAGTAAATGTTTGTGTGAAAATGAAGAAACCCATTAACCATCACAGCTATTTAATGCATCAAGGTTTAGTAATTCAAACCAGTTTAGGCTTAAAGAAACCAACCAAAATAATTACTCATGAGTAGTAACCTCCAAAACAGGACAATAAGCTGATTTCACTCTATCAGCTGTAATCAACCTCACTCAAATCAAGGGTAAGAAAGGAAAGAGAGCATCTTACCCTGACACCACCCAGGGTTCTGCATGTTGATCTGAAATATTGAAGAGACGGCAGCCTAAGTTTTCTACATCCTCCAGTCGACCTTCCCGTGCCAACAAATAGCCGTACACATCCATTCCTGCAGTGAAAACATGGAAGGTCAATCATCAAGAAACAGGCAGCCCATTCACTGCAATAAATTCAAACTTCCTAACTAAACTATTCCTAATATATACAAACCCCATAAGTGGATGTGTCACCTTCTAGCTATCTGCCATTTTAAACAACTTGCAATGCAACCACTTAGTTTAAACTGCATAACTACCAGCAACTGGTTAAGTGTGCAGTTTCTGAATGTAAACTGCATTGAAAGACAGATACAACTATACTCAATAGTGCACTCAATATTTGTTTGCTACTCTAACTTAATTTACCAGGTCATTATTCTAGGTAAACGTTCCTTTACAACTTACCTTTTATTAGGTAAGGATCCAGCATTTGAGCTTGTTCAAATTTTAGAATAGAGTTTTTATTATCTCCAGCTCTGAAATACAGGTCTGCTAAGCTCCCCAGTAGGTCTACATTATCCCTCAGCAATGACTTTTTCTCTAAAGAGCTTTAAGAGAAATAAATTGCTATTATTTATGTGTAATGACATTAAAATAACATTAAAGAAATATTTTATGGCATTTCACTACATCATGCTCTTTCAATTCTTACCAAATTGTATTGATTGCTCTAGTGTTATCTCCAGTGTGCACAAAAGCATATGCCTTGATCCACACTGAAAGCCAGTCCAAGTTTGGAATGCTCTGAATGATATTTATTGTCATGGAGGCCACTTCTGCACCTTTCACCGACAGCGAGAGCAAACCTGTTCAGAGAGGTATTCAAAATGATAAAAAAAACATTTTCAATCATCATTACTACAAATTATCTGAAGAGTAGGAAGCACAACCAAGCAGTTTGCTGTGAATTTATCTTTTGCATTAAACACATTTGCATTAAATATTACGTAGAATGGCAGTCAATTACCCAGTCCCAAACATGCTTCAAATTATAATGCTTCTTAGGACTGACGTACCTAACGGTGTGGAGAAACCTACCTAGTATGGCATCAAGTGCTAATGGGCACTGCCTCAGTACTTCCTTGTAGCTTGTAACAGATGAGCGTTCCTGACCTGCTTTCTTGTACAGATTTGCCAGCATCATATTGATCTGCAAGAATTAGAAAGGAGTTCCTGTTAAGATAAGGTGACATCTTTGTCCTCCCTCCAGCATGCTGTCTCCCTCCCTTCCGTTCTGAGTAGTTCTTTTGAGATCACTGTAACCTACTACCATGGATTACAGAATTAATATTGACTCTTGAGTCCAAGTATAAAACTTACATTTTTTCATTTACATAGTGCATGTGGAAATCTCAGCACTGTGACATCCAAAAATGGGCGAGTGTCTTAAGCATGATGAGAAGAACCTGTACATCCGCTGCATTAACTTTCTTTCAGCTCATTTCTTTGTATCAATGGAAGCTCTCAAGAGAAGGAAGGCACGGAATGTTTCTGTTTAGCTTCTAAACAGTAACAATTGATAAAAGAGCAGGAATGATTCAAGCTCTGTGCAGTCCAACTAGTTGGGTCCCGCTACAAGATTTTATTATCCTAGTGTGTATAGATTAGAAGTTTGCTTTCCTCAACCTTTTTTTCTACCTTCTGAGCAAGTGCCAGTGACAAACCTCTGCCAGAACAAACCTTTGGGGTCCTCTGTCTGGAAGGAATCCCATCCAGAATGGCAATGGCATCTTTATCTTGCTTCAGCATCGTGTAACATTCAGCCATTTTATATTTTACTTCAATTTCAGATGGTAAACACTGAAATAAAATGTAATATTAAAGGACAACTGTAGTGGAAATGTTATATCACAGACTGAAACAGTGACTGAACAACTGGTGGGAAGGCAGGGCCAACCCAGGGGAGCTCAGGTGCAGGCAATGGATGTGATTGGAAAGGGCGGAGCCAGAACCCAGCCCTTCCCAGCCTCATTTAAGGCTTGGCAGTGGAGATGAGGGGATCTCTCTGGGGATCCTGCCTACTGGAGGCCCTCTAAAGGTAAGCAGATTTTCTTCTGTTGTTTCTGTATTCAGAATTGCTGCATGAGGGCTTGTTTTTATTTGCTGCAGCCTAGGATTGGGCCACCCTGCTATTATTACCATACTTCCCATCACATTAAATGTTTAGTGTAAGTTAAAAATGTCTAGTGCAAGAAAGGTAAAAATGCAACCTACTGCTGGCTCACGTTGCTCATCTCTTCCAAAACCATGAATTACACATCTTAGGAAAAAAAGGCAGCCCACAATCTAATGCTACAATATTGAATCTTCAACATTAACCAAAGCAGAGGGGGATACACAATGCAGCACACCGCTCAGTTTTTAAATACCTGGCTCTGTGGAGCTGATGCAGCATTCCCAGTAGAAGGCCTTACTTTTGAGGTTTTACTCAATGCTTTCTTCTGCTGCAAAGCCATTGTATACTTGCTGACAGCATTTCTATATTCTTTATCGTGGAAAAGAGAGTCTGCGTGGTATACTAGGAGTTGGTACTTCTGAGATGGTGAAAACAGCTCCCTAGAAAAGATGCAGACAGGCTGAGATCAGCTAACAGCCTAAGAACCACGGACAGACCGAAGTTATTCATCCAGCTTCAACTTTGAGCTGTTGCTGCCGCTTTGCTATGCAGGTAACAGCACAGCTCCTTACAGAGCTGCATCTTGCTGTGTTGAAATGTGAGGATTTCGGAATGGGACCGTGGTTCTAACCAGTACCTCACAAAACTACCCGAAACGACGCAGGAAAGCCCTGAAAAACGACGGGAACGGCGAGAATGAGGGGAAGAGCGGTGATGTACACAGAGTACCCGTGGTAAGAAAGAAGGAAATCGCTGCATCTCCACTGGGGAAGCCCATGAAAGAGCCGCGGACCCCTGCTGCCGCCCAACCGCGGGCAGAGGCGGGCTGACAGAATACAGCTTCATCCCCTCAGGGCCCTGAGCAACGGGAGCGCAGGGGCCTTTTCCTTCCCGGTCCCGTCAGCGCGGCGGGAGGGCCACTCACGGGTTGTTGCCGCTCATCGTTAGGAGAAGCCCACTGAGGAGCCGCACGTTCGAGTGGAGCCCGGCGGAGGCCATCTCCCGTACGTGCTCCACCACGCTCATGCCGGCGGCGGAGGAAGAACAGGACAGAAGGAAGAACGCGGCGCACGACAGGACGCCCACCGCCACTCCAAAATGGCGCCAAGGCGGGGGCCTCGCGCCGCTGCCTCCATGCGCCTGCGCAGTGCCTTAACGCCGCCCCCATGGCGGGACAGGCGCGAGGCGGGCAGCCCCAGGCGCCCCGCGAGGCCCCCGATGGTTCCGCGCACGCGCAGCGGTGCTTTTTCTCAGCGGCGCTGTGAGATATCGGTGTGCGGCAGCAGGGAGGCGCTGCTGCTGGGTGCGTCCCTCCCTGGCCCAGCACCGTATATATGCTTCGTATTTGAAGATTTAGGCGTTGTGTCCAGGCTCAAGAGCAGTGCAGACGCTTTTCTCCACAGATGTTAGTGTCTGATGGCTGCAGCAGTGATGTGAGGTGGCAAAGCTCGTGCCTGTAAGACAGCTGAGGAGGAAGACCTGTAAACCTAGGCTGCTGCTGGCCCACAGTTGGGGAAAGTACCTCACTGGTGCTGCTGTAAACTACAAAGCACACAGTACCTCTGTAGGAGAGTTAATCCTGTGCAGCGATAAAACAGTCGTGTCAGAATTTTTCCTTTCAGTGGAGTGCTACAAAAAAGCATGTTAGTGCTGTGTGGTGACAGTGAAAGTACTGCCACGAAGGAGACAAAATGGGCTCGGACCAGCAGGTCCTCAAAACAAACACAGTATTTGCCAATATCATATCATGATGGCCTCTCCATTAAAATCTCATTTTTATTTCTTTGAAAGCTAACCATAAGACATAAAGCGCTGATCACATTAATTACAAGCTAAGTTTATTGGAGAAAAAAAAAGTAAAAAATCACTGCACTCAACATGATACTAAAACTCTAGCCAGCAGAGCAATTACACACAACTCCAGGCACAAACACTTCTCTTTAAACAAAAGCCCTGCTGTAAATGCTAGCTGTAGCCACTGATAATAAAGCAGCCTGCACCTGAAACAGCATGTTAGGAATCATTTATTAAGCACCAGCTTAATAATACTTGCTTACAGTACTCAAATGATGTTTTTACTTTACATCCCTCTTCCCTCGTTGACTTTTTTCTTCATAAACACTTTCTTTTTTCCTTGGTACAAAATGTATCCAAAACAAAGGCAAAATATTTCATACAGCTTGCTGTTGAAATACTTCATGTTGCTGCTCTGCCTGTTCACTGCCCAGGTCCAGACAGGCTCTTGTTCATGAACTGTCTCTTCACAAAGCAGATCCACCACTGCAGGAGAAAACACATGATCAGAAAACAGGCAAAAGAAGTTTCTGTCTTATAAATGAAATAGTGACTTAAAAGTATGTTTATTACCTATTCCAGTGTATTTATTGCAGTATAATAATGAACAGGGACTGCATCAGAAAGCTATGTCTTTGAAACTAAATCAGCCTGAATAATCTCATTATTCAATGCAAACATATTTGCACATGAAATACGTGATCAGGAGGTAGTTCATGCACTGATTGGCTACTTTTTAAAATCCAGATAAAAGGCAAAATGGTCTACTTCAAAGAAGCAATGAGATCAGAACTGCCTGGAAATATAAACAGCATCTCTCATGCCTTTTAATTTCTATTTGAAAAGAGTCCCTAGCCAACGGCACAATTGCAATACTTTGAAGAGTTAAACTAGAACTGCCTATTACTGCCCCACTTTTTAAAGTACTTGAATTGGAATTTGTCATCTTACCATGTTACAGCTGGAAATTTATTGACAACTGTCAGTCCTCTGTTTTGCTAGCCTGGTAAAATCAGGGAAGCCTGCTCCAGAGTTACCTATGTCTGATCCTTCACCCTCTTCTCTTGCTTCTCTCCATCTTTTGGAAAAAACATCCAAGCCTCCCATTAAATCTGTGATGATCAGGCCAAATCCTTACCTTACTAGGCTTGTCACTCTGAGGATCAAATACTTTTTCACAGAGTCGAAGACCAGTTTCTTGCCTGAGCTGCTGCAAGTATGCTCTCATCACCTCTGAAATACAGTAGGACAAAATAGCATTAAGTCAAACTAAATTGAGCGTGGAAGCACTAGACAAACACTGCTTAAAGCAGAAAATGTGAGCTTTCACATCTGTAGGCTCTTGCTGGCTGCCTGTTCAATTTACAGCCATACTTGGAATTTTTATGATATTTGTATCAGTGAAATGGATCATCCAAACTGTTTTCTTCTTTCAATTAAACCTCTGCCCATCATTCTGGGCTTCCTCTTTGCCAGTGTGGGAGTTGGTTCAGGCTCTGTTATAGAATCTGTCTAGCAATTACATTGATGCAAAAGGCAGACTCGGACTCCTATCACTTTGTTCTGTTGGATCTACAGATAAAGGGGAGTCATCAGGCCCCTAAGGTCAGAAAACCTCAGAAAACAGAGCCAGAAGTTTTCAGGGTCAATTTTCTAGTCATAGTAACAAAAATGCAGCTAGTAAAGCATGGACCAAAAGAAGCCTTCAGAGTTCTTTGTTTAGTTTTACCTTCCTCTTGCTTGTTGGTAGGTTTGGCATAAATGGCGTTAAGTGGAAAACCAGGCTCCCCAGGGATTGGGAAATTAGTGATTCCCAGTGTGTACATCTCTTTTTCTCCTTGGCCTTTGGAGTTGCACTGAAAGAACCAACCAAACAATTGATTAAAAGTTACAAATGAAAACGTTGGAGTAAAATATTTTAACGCTCACTAAAACATAAAGGCTGATCAAGAACAGCAACACAATGTCTCCATGCAGATCCACAAGTATTTGTGGTTCTGTCAACTGGGACAGCAGTGAACAGAGTTTGTTGTGCCTTTAGAGAAGGTGAATATCAGCAAATGCTCTCCTGAGTACAATCCTCAGAACAGACTGATTCCCTCCTTACCTTCTGCAGCTTTTTCAAGCACTCAGAAATGTAGAGAGTTATGTAGATCAGCGTTCTGTCAGCCTCATTCTGCAAAATAAGAGTAAGCACAGAGCCTAGTCTGTTAGACTATAGGGGACTTCATGGAACTGGTAAGAGTTTGAAATAGGAATGAGTTCATGCAATTTGTGCTAACAATATCCTCATAAGAGGGGAACTACTGCAAAAAAAAATTACCTTAATTTCATAATTTTTGAAGAAAACATTAGCTTTGAAGTAGTAGATGGCTTCATCTATAATATCTGTATCTTTAGCTAAAAAAAGAAAGAAAACCAAAATTAAGCAGTGCATTGCTACATCACATTTGGTCATAACTTTTACACACTGAACTACACAAACAATAATTCTTGCAAAAGCAAAATTGTTTACAAAAAGCAGAGGACTACACTAAATCTTACCCATATGAAAGACTGGTGGTGAACTCTGGCCAAAATATTCAGGTTTCTTACTCTTAGTAGTTTTAACCCCCTTTTTCTTCTCTCACTATGACTTCACACAGGGCAGCAGGTTGGCAGTTCCCCGGTTTCCTACCAGTTGAGTGACTCACCAGAGTTTTAACTGTATAGAACACGCTGTTAAAACTCTTTCTGAGGACCCAAAAATATATTTGGAAGAAGTTTACACCACTATCAAACAACCTTCCTGGTTATTCTTTTAAAAAAAAAAAAAAAGAGGAGGAAGGGTAGATTACGTAGTGACAAGTTGACTCGCAGCTTTCGCTTTCTTTCACTGAAGACTGCTTGAGTTCTGAAATATTTTCTTTTTCAAACTGATTGCCACACTACTGGGAGATACCATGCCTGGGAAATTCAACTCCGTGTGCTAAGGGGAATTCATAGCAGATTGTAAAATTCTTCAGTACAGAGATGCTTAATGCTGACGCTTAATTTTTGCTGCCCTACAGTATTGCCTATCTCCTTCCTTTACAGCAGCTAAGCATCCTCAGCCACTGCACCAAAGCTGAGTTCTGCAGCTAAACCTCCACTTCCTCTGACAGCAAAGGGTTCACGCCACCATGTCCTCCTCACAGCCTGCTGAAAAAAACACGGAGGCACAGGAGGAAGTGTGAAAATAGCATCTGTAGGCAGTGTTAATCGCTAAAGCAACTGAATTACCTGGAGCTGCTCCAGATAACAACCATAGCAGCGTTATTTTCCATGGTTTGCACCCCTTCAGTATCTGAAAATTCTGTCTTCCTCTATAAAACATCCAATTTCTAAGCCACAACTTTTCTGCTCTGGTAGGCCTGGTCTGGAGCAAACTGTGAAAGATGATTACTAGCGAAACACAAAGGGCTTTTCACAGATTCTTGTAAACTTACTTTCTCGAGGTGCTGGGCCTTTGAACTGGCTTCTGATGGGTAACAGTGCCATGTTACCCACTAGCTTGGTATCTGAGTCCATTAAAGTTGAATGGTAAGCCTAGAGACGGGGGAAGGCTGGTTATTATTGCTGCAGAAAATTGCCCTTCCAGCATCCTGCTGGCACAGACTGATCGCAGCTCTGCCGTGTCATCAAATACAAATCAGAGTTTTGTTGGTTAGTGATGTTTCCAGCAACCTTTCCTTGCACAAACAGTAGTCATTTCTTAACGAGGCCCTCCGTAACTCAGCACCATTCTGGTGATAACCACAAAAGCACCATCCTGGAACCATTCATGTCAGCGGTGGTGGAAGAGGACGGGCTGAGAGGGCTCTGCTGCCCAGAGAGGAGGGGGATCTGGGCAGAGCTGAGCCAGAAGGGAAAAAAAAGAGGAAGAAAGAGGAAGGCGGCAGCCTCTAAACACATCGATCCGCTCTTCAGTGCGAGGCTCCAGCCTACAGCCCCTCTCCCACCCGCGAAGTCGCCCCAGCCCGGCCCCACAGCGCGGCCCCGGCGCTCAGCGCCCGCCCTGCCCCTTCCCTGCCCGCTCCCCTCACCGGCATGGCGAAGGGCAGGGCGCAGCTCCGTGCGAGGGAAGCGTCGCTGAGCTCGCAGCAAACCTTCCTCTTCCTTCAGGAAATGAGGCAGCGGGGCGGTGCTGCCTGCCTGTACCGCCCCGAGGAGCCGCTCCCTGACGGGGAACCACAGAGCCGACCTCCGCCCATCCCCGCGTTGCGTCTGAGGGGAACCGTCAGTCCCTCTTGTGAGCCAGTGGCCCGTGGGCCCCCATCACTGCCTCGTCGCATGATTCAGACCGAAAAACTGGGGAGATTTGGAGCTGAAGGGCTGGGTTTCTCCTTTCCGCGAGCAGAGGAAACCTCCGCTGTGAGGGTGGGCTGAGAGGTGGGGTGTTCAGCCTGGAGGAGAAAGCTGCAAGGAGTCATTGCAGCGACACAAAGGGTGCTGCAGAACAGCTGGGAGGTGTTCTGTCGGCGGTTTTAAACCAATAAGTGTGGGTTTAAATGCGATATTAAGAAGAAATTCTTTGCCATGGGTGTGGCAAGGCACTGCTGGAGAGCTGTGGGTGCCCCATCCCTGGAGGTGCTCAAGGCCAGTTTGGATGGGGCTGTGGGCAGCCTGATCTGATGGCTGGCAGTCCTGCCCATGCCAGTGGGGTTGAAACCTGGATGGTTTTGAAGGTCCCTTCCAACCCAAACCATTCTACGATTTGATGACATGTCCAAAGGATGTGCGAGGCTGGAATCAAGCCAGATCAAGCCCTACCAGGATGTGATTAATTCAGCATAGGCATTGAACGATTTGCCACATAATGAGGTTATACTGTAACTATTAAGCATGGTCAGGATTTCTGGCTCCATGCATCAAAGTCTCCATGAGCTGCATTTTCCAACCTCTTTCTTGTTATGGCAAGGACTACCCTGAGCTCTCACTAACTGTCCAGTGCTGGGATAGGTCTGGTACATCCTCAGGTTTAGATAAGTGCCACGGCCTCAAAGTATTCAATCACTGATTTGGTTTACCAAGCTGTTCCTCCAAAATGACTTTAGATGCTCTTATTCTACTAAGGTATTTGGCTGACATTTTGTATGGGATAATTTCTAAAACATGAACTATATATTACATAGAGAAAGATGACATGCCTATATAGGGACATTTACTGATACTAAGCTTTACATAACCATGAGGCCCTTTATACAAAATACTTTTATTCAGTAACTCCATGAATAAAACCTCATTTCTTAGGATCAAGGAAAGGTTTATAAATACGTGGGCATGGCTAGCAGGAAAACATCCTCCAATTCAGCTGAAGGTAGCTAATAAATTAGACTAATAAATTTTAGGAGAAGTAATAAAAAATATTTTGAAAACACTTGAGAATCCAGGAACATTCTGTATTTACAAAAGAACTATAAACAGTAATATAGATCACTATATTCCATCATATAAACTGTCATATAGCTCATTTTTCACTAGAAATGTTAGTAAAGGCAAAACATCAAATAAATATGTTTGTGTGGAAGGGAATGTCTTTGTTTCCTTTAAAACACACAAGCAATGTATTTTCTTCCTCTTTTCCAACATTTGCTTTTTACTCATTCACGTGATCTTGAAAATACTCATCCACAAGTGCAGATTTATCTTCTTCATACTCCTGCCAACAAAAAAACAAAAAGCATAAAACCTGACTTTTCTCTGGTGACTGTTGGACATCATCAGTTCTGTGATGCTTTATTTTAGTCACCACAACAATGTCCAACATTGTTCTACAAAACACGGAGCAAAACTTTCTGAAAAGCAATTTGTTTCTAAAGCTATCCAAAATGTATACATCAAAATCTAGATGCATTTATTTTGAATATTTAGAGAGTAGAAAATTGAATTTAAAAAAATGCGATAGAACTTCTGGACTTATTCCTTAGGATATATGAGCTGAATGATGAAAGTAAACAGAGCTTGGAATTGATTTTAACCTGTTGATCTTCCATCATGCATTTTACATGACAGATGTATAAAAGATTAGGAATGGTTTTACAACACATGGACTCAATGCAGAAATTTTAGGGGAAGCTCAAGGAGACACACAAGTAGAGATCTTAGTGGTATACAATCATCTTCTCTGATCTTCAGAATTCAAAGGACATATTTCAGTTATCATTTGTATTATGGATCCTTTCTAATGTTTCATCTTATCTTCAGAAGTACCTTACCTTCGGTTCTTTAAATTCAAGATCTTCTCCATACTGGATGGTAGTGTCTATGTGCTGCAGAACTATGTTTATGCTTTCCTCATCAGAGCGATCGAAAGGTAGAAATCGAACCATACCATAGTCATCAATCTGCAGCAAGGATTCAAAAGACATCAGTAGGGAAATACACTAAGTTTTCTTACTGCACCATTGCTGCAAGCTATGCTCAGCAATCTGGACAAGGAAAATCTAGGGCTGCTTAAAGCCACACTGCAAGCTAATGGCAATTCCCCACTCCAAATTCCTGGCTATCAGTCCAAACTTTTACCCGGTCAATAAAGCTGTCTCCCAAAATTGCTAGTAGAATATGATTCCATGAATTTTACTGGCTACAGCGTAAGAATCTTATGCTAACCTGAAACATCAAAAGCTGAGTTAGGACAGGCAAAAAGAAAAATGTTCAAGTGCCTGGTGATCTTTTAGATTCAGGCTTTGTTAATAAATCTGCAGGTAAACACATGGCCTTGGGGGGCAGGTGGAGAATGTTATAGTACATACAGTATCTAGCACAGCAGTGAAGTCAGTAACCACAAAGTATGGTTTACAAGCATGCAGCTGAATTAAAGAATACCAGTTAAAGAGCACGATACGTACCAATCCACATATGGACTTAGTCAGTTTTTTAAACATTTTGCTTTTCAATATATCAGTAGAATCTTCAATCATAGAATACATATCTGGATCTAAGTACCTGAGAGAAACAAAGCCATCATTAACAACGAAACACAGAACAAATGAGACACTATGCTTTTACACAACTACCACAACCACCCATCATTCTGTGATTGTGAGTGAAGTTTATATCAAGATATTACATTACAGAGTAAGTAATGCTTTGGAACTTACTTTTCTATTTCCTTCTTAGCTTTCTTGCTCAGCAAATCCATTTTAGTCATGATGTTAATCTGTGGAATCTCTAAAGAGATCATTGCACTGAGTGCTGCCAGAATTCCAGATATGAACTTAAGGAATATGAAAAATGTAGTTAAGTACAGTAAAGCACAAAACCTTCATGCAGGACACTACCACAGACCAAGCCTAACTTACAAATATATTGCATATGGGCATAAAGAATCATTATCTCTGCTGGAAAAGGGAGGTGCTAAGGTACCTGGCTGCAATCTATTGCCAGAGCTCTGAAGCACATTATATGCCACCGAAAAGGACATTAAGAAGACTGAAAGCCTTTCTCAGGATTCTTATTGCTCAACAGGGAAAGGGGTCATTCTCTCTTTGAGAAAGCTCTTATAGAACAACAGAACAATTTAGGTTGAAATGGACTTTAAGACATTGTCTGGTCTCTATAACTGAGGCAGCTGAAGACAGCAATCCCCCGCTTAGCATTCCTTCCTTTGGACCAAACAAACCAAGTTCCCTTTCTTATTCTATACCATGGACTTTTGTAAAACTTTACAAGAATTTGTACAAGATTTCAAATGGATACCTTAAAAGATTCCACCATGAATTGCGAATCGACAAGAAACACTCCACAGACACGGAATTCCCACTGCTGAAGCTGTTCCACCAGCTGTTTCATCACTGGCAAATGTGTATAGAGTTCGATCTGACCTAAGACACACTTGGGATATCAGTATGCAGAAATGTAAAGCTAATAGAAAGAGCTCACAGTTATTAGTTACAGAAATATTAGCATTACACTTAATATGAATAACAGCTAATAAAACACAGTCTCTTTTCAGACAACCCTGCCTGTATTTGGATGGAATCATACAGTAAATCTGGAGAGGAAAAAAGAGCTGCATTTTCCTCTCTTGATCTCCAGTTAGCATTTGTTAGCAGTTGCCATAGACTTCACCCACTGTATGATGTTACCAAAAGTCAGTGCTGTCACCCAAATTCAAATGGAGTATCTGAAAGTGACTCTTGACAACTGTTAACAAACCAAAAAATGTGTGAAAATGAGGCTGAGGGGAGACCTCACCACTCGCTACAGGGACCTGAAAGGAGACTGCAGCAAATCATGTGACAAGAGATACAACATGAGGAAATGGCCTCAAGTTGCACAAAGGGGGCTTTAGATTGGATGTTGTATGGGAACTGTCTGAACCACTGACAGTTGAATGAAAAAAATGAGAGAATGGCATGGAGCTGTGTCAGGGGAGGGTTGTCAGACTGGGTATTAGGGAAAGGTTCTGCATTAGGACCAGAGGGCAGAGAGCACGGCCCCGAGCTGCCAGAGTTCTAGAAGCATTTGGACAGTCTCAGACCCAGAGTTTGGATTTTGGGTGGTGCGGTGTAGAGCCCTGGATTGGACCTGATGATCCTTACGGGTCCCTTCCAGCTCAGGATATTCTATGATTTGGGATTTCAGGTCACGGTTCTGCAGTGGTCCTGGCAGCATTATGTGGTGTTGGACTCAACCAATTTGTGGCTCTTTTCCAACCTCTGCGTACCAAGTATGACATCAAAACACACACATCTGTTTACCTGGGCAGTCGAACAGTATATAATCATCCTCCACGTGCCCGAGGCTCTCCTCCAGCCAGTTGAAGTTATTGGCAAAATACTCCATGCAGAACACCAGGCCACCATTGGGACCGAACCGCAAGGAATCATCTTCCATCACATCATCTACCTCTATGAGCTCCCGTATATCTGCAACGACAGTACGCTTACGGACGTGGGTAGCACAAGGCTGCCATGATAAGCTCCTGTCCCCCCAGCTCTCTCCGGACGTCAGGTAGGCGCAGAGTGCACTCACCTGCCATGACGGGATAGCTGAAGAACTCGGCGGCCGGGTCCAGGTTAACCACCTGCACGGCGCGGCCCAGCGCCTCGCAGTGCTGCAGCATGGTGGAGCAGTACGTGCTCTGCAAGGCACGCACACGCTGTAAGCGCCCGCTCGTCGCCA